TTACGTCCAGCCCCACCCTAGCAAATCTTCGTCTTAATATCGATCAAAAGTCAGTTTTCATAATACTTTCGTAATCATAAAGTCAGTTTTCATAATACTTTCTTAATCGTAAATTATCGAATGAGTATCAGTTTACCTTGTTGGAGTTGTTAGATTTGGTACTTCAAATAGTTGATAACGTCTTCTTTCACTTTCCTGATGTTTTAGGCCAACTGTCAGTCAATATTCAAGAATGCGACGTGTTGCTTCTGGAGCAGAGATCATGCGACTGGCTTGATAGTTTTTGTTGTGAAGCATTATTTGTTTACTCGGCATTGTTGTGTTGTACTCGGCATTGTTGTGGAACACAACAATGCCGAGTAAAAACAAATATAATTTGACATTGTTGATGACGTCATTTTTTGACGACAACGAGGAATCACAAATTTTTATAATAGATAGAATATTTCACCTACCACAGACCCATCTTAAGCGTAACTAATTCAGGTTAAATAAGCAATGTCTTAATCAAACTTATCTCAATTGTAAAGCATGTATAAAAGAAATATTTACAATAAAGCCAATATATAAACTTCCTTTCCGTATAGACGTATTTACGTCAAATTCTCCGGAACCGTGGTTCCACTATCACCTTTTTTAATTAAAATCATGTTCCTTCCCTGCCGTAATGAGAGATGGGTCGAAATGAATGCATATAGGGCTGATCATGTCTGTCTGTCCACATGATTCAACTCAAGAACCACTGGACTGATTTTGATTAAATTTCGTGTGGATGTTATGCCATTGGGGACTACCTTGAAATTGTATTTTTAAATTTCCTGCAGACACTAATACTAACACAGTGTACAAACACACGTATGAGGTGCGATCAACACTAGCATCACTTTAACGAGGGATATAACAATGATGTAAGGTTATAGATTTTTTGGAAAATACAGTATTTTGGTACAGTCATTCTTTGTATAGTGTAAAACTAAATGGTGACTGCATGAAAGAAAGTATTTTGTCTTGACCAGGATTCGATTCTGCAACGCAATGCATGTTAGTCCTGTACGCTACCACTTTATGGCATATTGGTATTGATTTACGTTACTTAAAAAGACTTTAAGATCACATGGTTTGTATAGTTAGAAACTAAAGTTGTCTATGATGACTGGCATAATCTTTTATTAATAATTCAGAATTTGCAAAGAACGTGTGTATTCTGGTACAAATTGTACCTTCCTGGCCCATTTATATTATTACAGTATATTATTTAGTTCTGCTATGTAGGCATAGCAAGAGAAAGTTAGGGACCATGAAAGTAATTGTTTAATTTTTGTCCCTGAGTCTGAACTGCCTTCTTCAATTCCACTCAGAAGATGAGAGACAAAATTTGCTATTATAATTTTGTTCAACAAATCACATTGCCTCATTTATGTGAAAAGATAATTGGCAAAAGAAAGAGTATTCATTGGTGCATTATTAAAATTTATAGAGGTTTAAGTTCAACTCTCAGTACACAGAATTGCATCTGGCTAACAATGGGTTTTCATTGTCCACAGATCTGATGTAACAATTCTTACAAATATAATCCTACTTTACCATTCTCCATTTCCATTTATATATTATTGATTTTATTCTCCCATTTACATACAATTTTATACATGTATTTTCAAGAGACAAGAATAATGAAAAATGTACTGACATAAGAATAAATAAAAGACATCACTTCATTTATGTGTTTAATCTTTTACTAAACTCAGACTGCAGAAATGAGTTGAATGGGCGATAGGGATGATGCCATTAAAGGCTTCCATTCCTCTAAAGCACTGGCTGCATTTGTGTGAAGAGAATCATTAAATGGCTGCTGGGGCGTACAGGAGACTGTTCCGTAGGTGTCTGGGTAATGACTGAGCGGATATGTGGAGTGGTCAATCAGATGAGACTTCTTTCTGCAGTCTTAGTATAGCTTATTACAAGAATCCAAAATCCATATGCATTATGAGAGTACATTATAATATGTTGTAATCTTTAAAATGTATATTTTCTGAAACGGATGTTATTCTTGTTTGGATAATTGGATGCAACATATAATATTGATATGAGGAACTGTTGCGTTTTAAAAGAGGCATTCCACCAATTCTGATGTTAAGAAAATATTCCTCAGAATGTTCTGTCAAAATATGGATCATATCTACAAAAAAAGAAGACAATTTAAAGATATACTGAATGTTAAAACACATTAAAAGTATATAAAGACTATATTAGCTGTTATCACAGTTTAGCGAAGGGATTACTTGCTGCCTCACAACCATAAATAAATACATGCATTCGTCTCATAAAATCCATGAATTTGCTTTTTGTTGTCAAGCTACGTACAAACATTATCACAAATTTTCTTTGGAACATTCCCACTCTTTCATGTTTGTCATTATCACACAGTTTTTCATCATGTAACCCACATGATTACATTACACTCCACCCCAGTTCATACCCCTGTTGTACTAGCAGCATTCAGTGAACTTTGGAATCGTTTAATTTTTTGTATTTTTTGTTCCCCCCCCCCCCAAAAAAAAAAAAAGAAAGAAAGAAAGATAAGTGATGTTAGCAATTCAAATGGGAGTGTAAGAGTCTGAAGAGAGAAAGTATAACCTATAATTCATAAAAAGTGCACATAATCGTATTTATTAGAGCCTATGACATTATTTCCAGTCATCTGTTGTATGTATCCCTTGCAAATATGGAAGTATGCCTATTCACATATGTGTAAATTTATATTAAATGTTACACTGACACGTAAAAAGTATGGACTAATTATGTTCTTTTGCAGCAAGCAAATACAATTAAATAATCACATAAATAGGAGACAGGGATCCCAGAATGCACATTTCAGAGAAACTTTATTACAGGGTATCTCAGAAGGATTTTATATAAACAGAAGTGAATGATATCCATTTACTAATACACTTTTTTGTTGGTACATAATAACATTGTAAAGAATTATTCAGGAAATTTAACACACCATAAATGTGAGTCATCATTTTGAATGTTTATTACTTGAAACATTTTATAGCCTATGGAAGATTCCTCTGACACCAACTATCCAGTCTTAAAGCTGTACAAGGCTGAGAATGTAGACTATGTTTCTCAAAACATTGGTATCTACATACAAGTCTACATGTCAAAATCAAAAAGTTTGTCATCGCTGTGAGAACCTTATAACAGATATTAAATCGTGACTTGTTTAGAGACTTAATGTGCATTTAATTACAATTTCACATTTTATGCTTGAATAAAGGAAAAGTACCACTGTCCCTATATCAAGACACCAGGCCTTAAAATATGCTTATTATCATCAAAAATTTGTTGCTGTTAAATACATATCTTGCCACCAACCCTACAAATTGCTTCATAACGTTTACACATTAGATTTAACTGCAAACTATTAGCAAAGTTACAAGATTATCTCATTGCTTGAATTAAACAGTTAAGTAAACTTTTTATTAGGTTTCTTCACTGAATAAACAGCAGAACAAAATTTGGTCAATAAAAATAACTGAAAAGTTTTAACTACAAAATCATGTTTTAGTCAGGTCTGTTGCACAAATGATTCTTTATATCAACTTTGTGCAGCATGAACAAAGCAGCAAATCATTAGCATGCTAAATTCCAGTTTTGAACACAGTGGAAATTGGGAACAAACGTCTGTAATGCCATTGGATAAAATAAAGCTGTCTCACTATATGCTATGTAGGCGCTTAGGAGGGAGTGGAGGTATAGCTTACTCAGTCTTGACCTCAGCACCAGATGGGGGTAAGTGGTCAGCATCATACCCCGGGCGTGCTTTACCCCCAGGAAAGGAGCCCGGTACCCATTGGATAGGAGGCTGGGTGGGCCCCAGAGCCGGTCTGGACGCAGAGGCTGGAGGAAAAATCCTCTGCCCCCGTCGGGGATCAAACCCCAGTCGCCCAGTCCGTAGCTAGTCACCATACTGACTGAACTACGCCGGCTCACTAATGCCATTGGATAACAGAGTAAAACACTTGTTTGCTTGATACTTCTAACTATTCCATTATAAGTATCATATTTCCCTAGGCTATCTGGGACCCCAAATTTCGTAAGACATTTAACAATAATTCTTAGATTTAAAACGACATAAATAACATTTCATAGTGTTTGTAGTAGAGTTTCAATTGTGTGGGTATAAACCAGCAAGGAATCAAAACTTAAAGCATTTTTGCATTCTGAATAATATAAAGTGATTATACATCTACATATCAAACTAAAGTAATAGGGTATCTGATTTCAGTCTATAAAAATTAGATTTTTTCTCTCAACTTAAATATTCATATACAGATTAAATATGAAAGTTAAAAACCTCTCAGTTTATCCTAAGTCAGGACAAAATTTAAAGTAATGAATGCCTTACCAGTCAAAAGCTAGGCCATTGTGAAGTGACTGTGACTGCATGGCATACCACCATTATAAGTACTTAAATAGAAATAAAATTTATATAATTGAGACTCTACTGCTCATATTTATAAAAAGATGTAATGACACTGATGAATAGAGGAAATTTTACATTTTATTGTACAGTAGAGTCCCAGTTAAACAGGACCGAATGATGGCCATACAATTGAAAATGTCGGATATCACGTGACTAATAAAAAGGACGAGGGTAAATATCAGCTCATTTTATGATATTAAATTATGAAGAAAACACAATATGGCATCAAATGAAAAAATCTCACAAACAAAAATAGTATTTAACATAATGTAAATTTGTATATGAATGAGTTTATATTTTAAGAAATTAGTAATGGGTATTTGCATGGACTGAATGTCGCATAATTGGGACTCTGCTGTATCTGAGATCAAATTCCAGGAAAGAGAAAGTTAAGGTAATTTAATTTTATTCGCAGGAGCCAGTTCCATATGGCATATCTTCTGTAGAAGCATAGGATTGGTCATCTCTGCACAGAGCATATGAATCTGGAATGTCCGCCCACTTTTGTCTCTCTCCGGACGCAAATAAACCATAGAACAATGCTCCAGCCAGGTAAACACCACCTGCTATGTAAAATACTGCTTGCCACTCTTCTGGAGTCTGTCAACACATTGCATTTTTAAATTAGTATTATTTATTATTATTGTTGTTGTTGTTGATGATAATGTCATCAATTTGTAGAGGGGGTGAGACTTCCTGTATTGAACAACAGGTCAACTTAACACATCATTAACAATTTTAAGCTGAAGCTCATATAAATAATATTTAAAAGTTCAGTCTGTACCACAAAGAAAACACAACACTTCTGTTAAGAAGATCAAATGGTTAATGCTGTTTAAGGAAATAATCCCTGTCTATAGCGAGTTGCATATGAAACCAATAAATATTCTTGAGGGCAAAATGCAGTAATTATTGATTGTGAAGGCATGTGGTACACACTGAGTGGCATAAGATGGCAACTCTCAAAATAACTTTTGTGTATAGTAAGAAGTGCATTGCATAATCTGGATTTTAAGTGATCTTAAGAGAGAGACTAGGAACTCCACACTAACCTTATCTTGCACAAGATGGCCTGTAAGTAGAGGACTGAATATGCCTGGTAAAGTTGCCACAGTATTAGACAAGCCCATGAGAATGCTGGCAAATTGGGGTGCAATGTCCAAATGGTTTACACTAGAATATCAAGACACAACATGAAAAGCAACCAGAAATGGTTTCTCAACATTTTTGGATCAAAGACCCAAAGTAAAATACTTAAGAAAATAATTTTTAATGGAGTTATTTTAATTTGCTGTCTGCCACACAGAAAGGCAGCAAAACTTAACCTACTAAAATATTTTAATACAATTTACGTGATATGACAGACGGACATTTCAACAATTTATTGGCATACATCAACTGACAAAATACTAAAATGTGCTATTATTTTGTCCGTTTGTATTGTGTAGTGAAATTCCGATTTTAGGTTTCTCATTGTAGGTTTTTGCCACATTTTGTGTTCAATTTTTGTGATCCCGGCTGTATTTCCACGTTTGTAATACATTATTTCCCCTGGTTTAATGTTTCAAAACCTGAGGTATTGCTCCTATTTAGAGAATGAAATTTAGGTCTGCACATAGAATCTGGACCCCAGTTCACTGCACAATTTTTCATCATCGCCAACAAATTTGAAGCTGCAAGAAACATGTTAAGTTTCTCCCTCCTTGCTGATTGTTAAAGTCACTTCCTCCCCTGCCACCATCATGCAGTAAAGCCATACAGTTTGATGAGGATTTCTTTTGTGAGCTGTGTAATATATCTCCCATTTAAGGTTTTTCTAAATTTAAGGTATGGACTGCTTGTACCCCAGGCAAATCTTAAATAGGGGTTTCACTATATATTATTTGATGTGATGTAGGAGACTTCAGGTCACTATCCTCAATAATAACAGAGTACTGAGAGAGGCAGTGCAGTGTCATTATGCAAATTCATGAATCTAGCTTCTGTTTTTTGGGGCTTTTCTGTCAGATCCCATTTCACAAATGCTTCAGAACATCAAAATAAGACTCCAGAAATTTGAGGATGGTGGTGAAGATGTTGTTTGGGATCTTCCAGGTTGTGATGCCATGTGGTGTCACAGCGCAGACGATCACAATTGACAAAAAAGAGTAACTGAGTGTCTGTCACTAACAGTTTTGTCATGAACTTTAACAATTGTTACTTGAGTGTGATGCTGATGTACAGCAAGGCCTTGGATCATGTTTGATTCAAATCCTATGAATTTTAAATATTTTAGTGCAGCTGGAAATTTCTTCTCCAAATGCAAATTTAAACACTTCATACATTTCTGTGGCCATCCTTCTAGTTCACACAGAATTTTATCCACATGCATTTTTCTGTAATGTTAGACATTTCTCAGTGTGACCACAGTTGTGAACATACGTACACAAAACAATGTTTTAGATCATGTGAAGCTTTCATGGTGGCAATTGTTAATAAAAATCCTCTCAGGCTATGAGCCATGTCAAGGAAATCTCTGTCCTCATTATCAATTCTAGTCATAACTGTGCGCTCAGACCGATGGATCTGAGCATGAGCCAATGGGCAGAGTAAACCATTTGCTCTGTTAGGGCCTGCCTTTGGATTGGTGGATATCTAGATTGTTTGATTAAGATGATTACTGGATCCCAAGCTCGACTAAGAGTGAAGCCTCCTGCCCTGTTAAAGTTTCTTGGGTGAAGCTATATCTCAATAGCCTATGCAGTCCATACATTCTATGGCCTTATCACGAACCAAGATGGTGGTGAAGTCGATGTTGTGCCATTTCAAACTTACGCTCTGCCACTGTGGATTTCTCTGGCTGGCCTAAGTGTATATGACTCTTGTGTTCCATACATCTGGATTAAATTGATCTGTCCATCTGGCCAATGTCAACTTTGCCACACTCACATGGCATACGGTATATACCCGTAACCTTCAGGCTTAATTTGTTCCTGACTGGTCTCAGCATATGGATATTTTTCTTCATCGGGACGTGGATGGTTCTGATATTGTTTGGAAAGGAGTCTGCCAATTTTGTAGGAGACCGCTTGTTGGAATGGTATCGTATATATGCCCACCAGTTTCTCTTTCTTTATCTGAGGTCTCTGTCTCAGATATAGGGCACAATATTTTAACTCACAGCTGATACACAGCAGCAACTTCTCTGTAGCTGTGGTGAAGTCAGAAGCAGTTTTTAAAAACATCTGAATGTAATTGTCAATGTAAATTATTTGTGTAATTGGAATACATTGAAATCAGTTGAAGAATTTTATGAGCATCCCAATTATGTGGAAGGAGGGGAGGCACAACAATAAAGGAGAATCATGTGTACACCCAAACTATAGAACTGTACCTGAAGCCAGCCCAGGCAAAACCTCCAAATCCTACAGCAGCAGTCAGGCTTGCCACAACAGCACTAGGAGTTGTAGAATGTGCAACTGCTAGCAGAAACAGTGTTTGGCACACAAATGCTCCACAGTTGCAAAGTTTCCGCACCTAGTGTTAGTATAGAAAGAGAAATATGTTATCTTATATGATCATTAATATGTAACTTTTAAAGGCAGAATTAATACTAACTTCTCAGAATAAGTGTGCTTTAAGTGTCTTGTATCCAATGAATTGTCTTCACACACCACAGACACATTACTTACATAAAAGCTGACACAAACCTGGCTATTATGCACATTTTACATGATTACTTACACATGTTTCTGTACACATCAATGCACATTTATTACAATGAAAAAGTTTTAAAATGAAACATGTTTTATGTCAAATACACTTTATCCATTAACCTTTTTTATGGTTTTCAAGGTAATTAAACAAAGGGTGTTCTTATGCTGTCACCTTATAATTCATTATATATGCATACATTTCCCATTTGTTTATTTTTCTACTATTAACCTTTATCGCCCGTGTGTCATGGATGGTGCATGATCCTGAAAGCTGTGCCTGGCCATGCATTACAGTATTATACCATTAATCTGTTAACTCATGAGTTGAAGTCCAGATGGCAGTCTTGTGGTATGAGTGGTTAGGGTTTATAAACTCTATTACTGTATGATTAAGGGTAAGACTAATAGCACAAAGTAACAATAAAACAAAATGTCATACAGTGACCAAAGTGTTCTTTCACATGCAGTGTGATTTTATAATTCACTTTTCTTACAATGAAGATGGCCATAAGCTCCTCAAAAAGGAAGTATTAATAACAATTACAGGATTTGTTTATTTCAAGCTAACATTTCACATCTCTTATTGTTTTTCAAGGTCAGAAGCTTCATAAAACAATCTTTGTCCTTTTCTGTCCACAACACATACATAAATATGAATTTCCCAGTACCTGTGTTGTTGTGAGGTTTCCCTGTGACCTCAGCCAGTCAGCTAAGAAACCACCAGATTGTACTGTCACACCCATCACTAAGTAAGGCAGAGCAGCAAGTAGGCCTGCATCTTTCAGATCAAACTTTAAGACATCTGGCACAAAGGAATTCAAAATATTTACCCTCTTATATAAAATACAGAGTATAATTATCTGTTCACAAGGAACACCCAACCAACAACCTCTATCACAAACTGGTTATTATTAAAACAGGTTAGAACAGATTATAAACCAGACACGTTGAAGCCTAAAAAGGCATTGTCAGTGATCAGTGTGTTCTACATAATTTCAACAGGTTCTAAACAAATTTTTTTGTGGTTTGGCTAAGTAGTAAAATTAACCAATTACAATATAAAAATTATTCAGAGTAATTTAGTTTAATTTTAAAGGAGGAAAATTGAGTGGAAAGTTAATTTGAATAGCACTAGAATTTACATCATTAATGACCAAAAACAAAAGAATATATTTTGAGAAGCAAAATATAAGATAACAGAAGATATCAGATCGACAACTACAAAATCCTTTTTTCTTTCTTTTTCATTCTTTCTTTGTTATTTGGCGATACTGTCAATAACTTTGAATATATATATCACTGACAGATAGGATAATGCATTTTAAAGGACATGGAAGAAAACAGATTTGTCCTTATTTAAGGTACCATCCCACCATTTTTCCTGAAGAGCAGAGGAAAACCATAAAAAATCAGAGTCAGGATAGCCAGTCTCCGGGCTAAGATGTGAACCGGTCAGAGCTAATCACATAACCATGTCACTGAATCTGAATTGTATATTTTATTGCCCCATTCTCAGAAGCATGGTCTGATAAATCAGAGGAATCCATATCGATTTCCAACGAACTATTCATCCTGGAGGTGTGATGGAGTTCATTCACAGTGCATTATTAATGTAGAAATCCAGGATAATGAGTGATGATAAATTAATAGAAATTAATTTCTAATCAATAGAAACATACTACTGAAAACTTTTACCATATGATACAGTAATTTTACTTGAGCAACTATATATTTCTTTAAGAAGTCTTGTATATCACATACTTAAATTATATAAACTGTACGAATAAATTTTCTGCTAGGGTATGTACAAGTTGGTAAATGTATATTAAATAAAGAGGAAGTTTTTCCTAGGTCTTTAATGGTTACTTGGAAGATAACGTGTCATCTATTTTACAGAACTGTCATTCAGATCACAAAATTTTAACATGAAAATATGTACCCCGCCTAAGTCTCCCAGTAATGATTATATTATATGAAGTTTTACTGTATAAAGAATTTAATTCAGTATTAAATAACATGAAAAATCTCACCTTTCATGAATGTTGGTAATTCTGTAAGTAGAGTGTAGAAACCCCAGTTTTCACTGAAATGTGCAATCATGATGGCCCAAACAGGCAATGAAGTTAGGAACCTTTTCCAAGGAGGTTCCACATTCTGTGACAACAAAGAAAGCCAAATAAAAAATTAATAATTTCTCATGATAAAGGTTATCATAGGGTATTTAAACCCCCCAAACTAAGGGCTAGCTGGTTACAGTGGCCGCATGGTCTGAGGCGTGGATCTCGTGCGCTTGGACACTGACCGTGGGTTCGAATCTCACTCAAGGCATGAATGTTTGTCCGCGTCTTTCTGTGTTGTGCTGTCCTACGGCAGGCTGATCACTCATCCAAGGAGTCCTACCAAACGTCTAAATACACATAGAAGTGATAAGGGTATAAACAGAAAGAGAGAAACTAAGGGCTGCTAATCAGTTCTAATTAATAATGTACATCTGCTTGAATTCACTCTGTTTCATTTCTGCAGTAGGCAGAATTTTCTGTCGCTGTATTTCTTATAGTAAGGTTTAATATCTGGAAGTTACACTGTACTTCTGCAGTTGACAATACAGAGAAAGAAAGAAATATAATACATTATTCTATATATTTTTGTTATTTACAGCTTTGGGCTGTGCCATTGCTCAGGTAGTTAGCTGCTGGCTTTTCACGTCGGAGACCCAGGTTTGACCCCAGCTGACTTCAAATAATAGATGAAGTGGCACTGGAACAGGTCTTTGGTGATGGTTCTTTATTACTACTGTCTTTTTTTAAAAGTCATAGAAATTTTAAAACGTTACTGTGTTTTGAAGGACAGATCTTCCTTCGTATTCAGATAAAAGGGGTTGGATCCACTATTTTAACATTATTTACACTTTTTAAAGAAGACAATTGATAAAGTACAAAACAAAGAAAATAGTAAGACTTTCTTTGTGGTAGCTTTTAGTTCTAATGATATAACCCTTATCAAGCATTCATACAGCATCATTTTCATTTTTTCTCTAATTAAACTACATTAATACTTAGCAGAAAAGAACAACTGTTGTACTGATTTTGACAAATAGAATCATGTTACTTGCACTACTTATTGGAAATATTGTGCAATTAAACATGAAAACACTGTCACATGGCTCAGATTGCCTTCTGTGGTTTACCTTTGCCAAATAAAATTCCAACTACCAATATACATATTTATTTTGGGAAACACTAAAGATACCAAGAAATTCTATTGTACAGCATGCACCCAGATTGTTAAAGCCAGAATCACAGAGAGAAGGTGCATATGCTCATCACGAAGGTAAAGGTCCCTGCTGCTTGACTGGGTATCATGGCATGCAGATGTAAAGAGAAATGGAGCTATAGTTCCACACATATATTAACCTCATTTGCTTTACCCCAGAGGAAAGAAACGCGGTACCACCCATTGGATAGTGAACTGAGTGGTCCCCACAGTTGCCATGGACATTGAGAAAACTCCTTCCCTCCTGGGAATCAAAACTATCTACCCAGCCTGTAGCCTAGTCATTACACTGACATCTGTTCTGGCTCGCCACAAATAGTATTTGTAGAGCAGTCGATACACAAACAAGGGGAAAAAATATTTCAGTAATGTTTTTGTATTTTGGGGGTTTAATTTGTAATTCAGTCCTTCAGAGAGAGAAACTGTACTAACTCTTTGAAGTCAAAGTTTGTCTAAATAATATTTAAGAATTCAGTCCGTACCGCAAAGGAAATACAACACTTTACCATTAAAACAATCAACTGGCTTACGCTGTTTTTTTTAAAATAATTACTGTTTACATCAAGAATCACATGAAACCAATAAATACAAAATGCATAGTTTCTGTTTGGAAATATAGGTGGTACATATAGTCCCCATTAGGCTTTAAAGAGTTAATTAAATATAACCTGAAGATCATATGCCACAGTTATCATTCAGTAGCCACTATGAATGACGTTAGTTCATACACAAACACCTTAGAATTACAAATGATACATTACCACCTTGATATGGTTGGCTGATGGACCAATAGATGATCTTATGTATTCTAATTCTGCATCTGTGATTCTCCGATCAGCTTGTGGTGTTTCAGCAACCATGTACCACCACAATGCACACCATATCAATGCCAATATTCCTGTAACAATATTTTATGTATTCAGTTTTTAAACTCTTGTTGTGAACATAATAATGAACTTTTGGGCTCCATTAAATGCAGTCATTTTCTTGACTAGTTGAGTAATTCTTTCCTTTGACAGAAAGACTCTACCACATGGGGTTAGTTTCATTTTTTTAGCTTTAAAATAACACTCTAGGTATTACTTTACCCCATGTTAAGTAAATTCCATGTCATCGCAGTGTGACACATCTAGGGTTGTGGTTGGAGTAGACAAGATTCAGATATGGAGGGAAACTTCAAATTTTGGGCAGCTGACAGTGATCCCTCGGTTTTTAAGATTCGGG